CAAAGTGGCCTGAGTTCCGAGATGTGACAAGCAATCACCAGCTCCTCTTCAACTCTACAGGAGCTGTGGAGTGCTCAGTGTGCGTTTGAAAATGAGGCCACTGATTTGGGCTGCCGCGCAGGGACTTAATGGGCTGATCTGAGACATCCACTTCAGGAAGTTTTGACTGGATTCACATAAGCCCTTCAAGTCAGAGCGTATCATTTCATATTTCCCTTGGCCAGTCAGAGAAACTCTGTTTTCAAGTTCCTGACGCAGAGCTTGCTTATAGCCCTGGGAGGACGGCAGGTATTTTTAAGCAGTGCTGCTTTGATGAGTGGTCAACCTCTTGGAACTTACTTGCTCGTGTACGCTGAGCGTAGCGAATGTGGCAGCTGTGGGACAGGCTAGCTTGGTTACCAGCTTTTCCAGAGAACTTAACTGAAACTTGATGGTACAAAAGTTCAGCAGATCAAGTCCCACCACCTTGTCCAGCCACGTGTATGTAATTCCTGGCAGTAATTTGCCCATCCTCTTAGCAGCGCCTGGTGATGGAGGCTCTCCTGCAGTCCCAAACAATTTTACTAGTGCCTCACGGTGGCTGCTGTTGAAAAGCATCCTCTCCAATTGTTCTGATTCTCTCTGCTGACATATAATCTCAATATTCTTTCCCCTTCCTTCAGAGAGATAATATCTAGATTATTCTTTCCTACTTCTGAAGTGTCCTTATATCTGACAGGGAGCAAACTTTCCTTTGATGTTCTCTTTTTTGGTGCTGGAAGGTTGAAGGAGTTACGACAGATTTATTTACTTAGGTACTCTTGGCTCTCTTCAGTTGACCCACAGCTTTGTAAATGCAGTGTTTCAGAGGAGGTCTAAGGACTTCTGGGTTTGTTGTTACTGTCAATCCAGGGAGATTTCCTATACCTACTGTGTTTTATGATTTACGCCTTCCCTGTCTCATACGGGTCTATCCTGGCTAAGCATAGGGCATTGCATTATTCTTCACTAGAGTACAAACTGGATTACATTTTTAAGACTGTTCATTCTGCCAATTTGTCAAAATCGTGTTCATTTTAGCTCTGTCTTCAAACTTCCTTAATGCTTTTGTCATCTGCAGAATTAGTAAGCGTGTTCTTTTCCATCCTCCAAATTATTTATGAAAGTGTTCGAGTCATCTAAGACAGATCATCATGGAAAATAGCCTTTCAGTTTGACAGCGAACCACTGATAATGCTCCCTGAGGATGGAGCATTGAGCTTCTGTACTCTAGGTCACGTTTCCCTTTTTTACGATTGTGTCTTCAGGACTGTCAAAAAAAAAAAAAAGCTGAAGGCAGAATCTGTACCATTGCTTCTTTGACTTCTTTTCAATGAGAAGGGGCGTGCAACACAGCTGTGGGTACTCACGGATGTTTGTCCGATCCTACGATCAACCCAATTAAGGTATGGACAAGCGCCTTATATCTGATGGGCAAGCCAAGTTGAAAGGAACAGTTAGAGGGAATTTACATCTTCCCTTCTGTTTCCTCTCAGTCCCATGGGATGCGGGTGATCAGGACAACAGAAGAACATGCTCTCCTTTTGGTCAGCTTGTAATATGGGGCTTCACTGTAAAGTGCTCGGAGGTACATGGAAATGCATGCAAAAGTTTGGAGGGCCAGGTTATCTGTTCGCTGTTAAAGAAAACCTCCATGTCACAAGGGGCTGCCTGCTCACAGAGCAGGCCCTCAGTAACAGAGAGGGGCAAACAGGTGGATTCCAGGCTGGAAACTGCCCATTTCTGGCAAAACTTCATGGCAGGGGGCTGAGGTGCTGGGGAGCTGTGCCGCAGCATGCTCAGCTTTGCTGCCCTGGGTTCCAAATCTGCCACCCTGAGGTGTCGTAGCTGGGCTGTGCTCCGTGCCCACTGCATGGCTGACCTTGACTATCTGCAGCCATAGTGGAAGGGAAATCCTGCAGAGCAAGCCCCACCTAGAGAGGAAAATACTGAGTGTGGATTCAGTGCGTCCTTGGACTGCGCTTTGTCGCATAAGTGAGTGGTGAATCACAGCATGGTGACGCATCCCAGTTTGCTGGCTGCTCCTCTCCTCTCACATACCTCCTGTGTTGCTCTGCAGGTTATCAAGCTCCGACAGCACAGTGTCTTTTGCTCAGCTTGGGGGTCCACTTGTGGCACAGGGGGAAAGCGGCCCCACTAACTGCTGAGGGTGAGGGATAACTCCACTGCTGCAGCAAGAGATGTGCCGGGAACGTTTGTCTCCACTAATGGCAAACATCAGGAATAAGTAGCATTCCTTCTGGTGACGCACTTTCTACTGGAAGGTAGCTGCTCACTGCAGCTGGAGCAGACACTGCTTCCTGCTTTTGCCCTGCTTTACAGGGCAGGCGTGTGCTCAGTGATAGCACACAGCAAGGCACGCAGGGCATTTAGCACCACATCCTTATCTCAGTTGATATTCGGAAACCTCTGACTCGTTCACGGCAGGGAGGAGGCAGAGCTATGAACTAAAAGCACCCGCACATGTCTGGAATAGAAGGAACACTGGTTTCTGACAGTTTGATCTTACATGGGATAGCATGCTCTAAGTTGGAGAGTAATGCTCACCTGCTGTGGCATTTGAGCCACTTCTGTGCTGTCAGAGGGTAGATTTTCAGTTGAATGGATGTGCAGCAGCGGAACCGGCAACAATAATAATTCTTTTGTGTTGTTTCAGTGGTACTGAGGACCTGCTCCTGATTCCCTCTCCTGCATTTTCAGGATGAGTTCTATGCATCTGGTGTTGGCATCTTGTTAATCATCAGAAGCCCAGGTAAGAATAACTGGATGTGTTGCTTTAAGCGTTGTAAGATTCTTCTAGTGACTCTTAATAACACCCTGGATGTTTCTCTTGGCTCCTGTGTCCCACACGCATTACAGTCATTTCATCACTGCAGTACAAACTTCTCTACAACTGTGCAGAGCAGGAACAGGATATGGGGTGGGTGACTGGGGCTGTAACGAGGGCCCTGCGAGTTGTTGGTGCGGTTGGCAATTTTGTTCAAGCCCTTTTTATCCAATGTATTGTGAGCGAGAGAGAAAACACCGGCCTTGAAAGTGCAGGAGAAAGGAGCTGTGCTGGAAGGCATGTAACGGACCTGGGAGCGTTGCATCGTGCTGTCGCAGGGAAGCACAAACAGCATGGGAATTTTATTTGCATACTCTTAGCTTCTGCTCCTCTTTTGACATCAGGGAAACAGTTGCATTCACTAGATCTCTTCACTTTGAGTAGCTGTTTGCATAGCATTAAGACAGATGCATTTTGGAAGTGGAGAGTTTTAGGTTACAGGATTGTAATTGGTGTTGTTGTTGTTCAACTAAATTCCCATTTTGACACTAAAATCAGAAGTTGCACAGTCTTTTAGTGCTGCGTATGTCTGAGTTACCCGTGGTACGCAGTGCTAGGTTATCCCTGCGAGCAGCAGTGCTCTGAGGAGTTTCTGCGTTATATCACCGCTGATAATGACAAAAGCCAGGAGGAACAGTGAAACCTTGGAGGCTACACCCCTCCAGGCTCTGGTTAGCGCTGTGTTAATATCTATGTTCTTAATGCAGATGTTTGCACAACTTGGAAACAAATATGGCATACAGAAGAGGTTTAACTGTTCCACTCTTCTATTCTTAAAGAAAAGAATCTCGTACAGTATCACGGCCTGAGAGCGGTGGGAATCTTGACAGTGGGATACAGGACATGTTTTCTGCTGCGGCTCTGTTTTGCAGGAGAACTGACGTTGCAGTTGATTTTCTCTGCTTCTTTGGATTGTGAAAACGATAGACGTGCTGAGCGCTTTCCAGACGGCTGCTTAGCACGTTGAGATCAATGGAAGCCTCCCGCGTGTTGGTGGAGGAGATGAGTAACATCCCTGCGGGAGCTTGGGCAGCCTGCATCTGGGAGCACCACCCCCAGAGTGCCACGTCTCATCATCCGCCGTCCCTCCGCTCTCCGTGCAGCCTGCTTTCGGCGCTTTTCTGTGCGTGTAAGCTGGAACAAAGGTCCCAAAGATAAAATAGCTCAGTGGGCAGCCTGCTAGGGAGCAGCTACAAAACGCCACCGCCCGTCGGGAGCTTCTCCAATCTCAGCTGGTGTCACAGGATGGTGGTGGCTGTGGGCGGTGTTCTCGTGTTACAGATGTGATAAACTTCTGCCAGAGTTTGACTAGCAGCCCTGGCTGAGAGGGATTGCTGATCAGATGCTGTTGGAGCTCCCACCAAGCTACCTGGTGCGTAGGAAGTTAATTTTCCTCTCTTGCAAACACGAATCAATTGCTTCAATAAGCAATAGTTTATTAAAGGGAAATAAAGTCTTCAGGGAAGAGGAGCTGAGCAACATAAAGTACACTTAATTTTAAAGGGCTCTAATTGCCGCACAGTCCTGTCGGAGGCAGCTACTTGTTTCTCTGAACTGTGCAAGTTAATGACCTCGGGACCTTTTTTGTGTCTCTCTAGGAGAGCCCGCATCTGTATTGCGTGGCTTTACTGTCACTGGTTTACAGTAATAGCCCTGACAAGGACTGCTTTCTATCTCCAAAGCACTGGGAAATTCTGCAGGTCCTGTCCGTGCGTCATTTATAACGTTCCTCACATTGACGCCGTGTGACATGCATTCATTCCTGGATATGCAAACTGCTGTGGCTGTGCTTGTGCTGTTGAAGGGATCGCTTTTACCGGAGAAAAGACGTACGCATCAGGCGCGTCACTGAACGACACGGCACTCCCACATTAATAATTTTAGTTTTTAATGCTGAAAGCAGATGTAAACATCCCCACAAATACTTATACACAAAAATCCCCCTCCAAGCTGAGGGAGGGAAGCTAATTACTTTTTGTCTGCACTGATTCCTCGCAGCAGCCTTGGCCACGAGTAATGCCACGGAGTCTATGTAGGAGAGAAAATCAGTGTTACACAGCCTTGTAATGTCCCGGTTATTTCTAAGATGGATTTACTGACATTTGAAGTTTGAAAGTACACTCGGCTTGTCTCAGCTCCTTGCTCCGTCTGGATGGCTCTCGCCGTTCCTGCCTCACTAATCTCTGCTTTGATTTTGCCAGCATTTCTTATCTGCTCGCTGTGGTCCGTTTGACACATGCAGCTAGAAAAGTAGTCATGCTAAATAATAAGATAATACTTCTGCCCCAGTATAAAGGGACTTTCTGTTCTTCGGTAAGCTGGAGTTCTGTAATGACCTGGTTTTACCGAGCCTCTTTGTGATAATTGATATTTTTGCCTCTGTGTTGATAGCAGGAGGGCTGAGCCCAGGCTCTCTGGGGGCTGGAGACAAAACCTCAGAGCTGGAAGCTGCATTGTACCGTGTGGATCCAGACGCCCACTTCAGCAACGCCCCATCTCTGCTGCACGGAGATGGCAGCGCTCACATGCAGCCCGTGCTGCTACATCTAAGGCAAGCAGCATGCCAGCAGGATGCACACGTCTTAACCTGATTTTGGCATTTTGTTTTTGGAACAGGTATCCCCAAGATAGTAGTCTTCTCCTTCACCTCTTTTGGGATTTGGGAGCGTATGAACTATTCTAGGAGCAATATGGTCTGTGTCGCCGTCTGGATGCCTGCTTATCGCTGTGAGACAAGTGCCTGGAAGCAATCCTCTGGGGAAAAACCTGCTTGTTTCCACTATTTACGCTTTGCTGTGGCAGTATCTGAGAGCCACAGTTACGGTTCGGAGTCACATTGTGCAGGGAACAGATTATGAGCAAGCCTGCCATGAAAGAGGATGGTTCCTTGGGGATGGGCTAAAGTTTGGTATTTTTCTCAAGTTTTATAGAAAAACACATCAGCTTCTAAATGAGTGGCAGCGCTGGTGGTATTTATGGCCTGCAGAGGGCTTAGTGCCTGGAAGGGAAGCTGGCTAGCCAAGCTCTGACAGCATTACAGCCTCCAGGTGGTACGTCTCAGTGGCAAACACTAGTGTTTATCCTCTACGCGGGGAGAATACTGAGGTACAAAAAAACCCCAACCATACAGGTTTGAAAAGATGTAAGTCATCTGTGGGGAGTCAAGAATTCATCATATATCAGGAGATACAGTAGGAATTTAAGCATTTGTGCGGTACGGGGTGAGGAAGGTAGTGAACACCTATGAAAACTCATTATTTTCTGTCTTGTTTTGTTTCCTCTTTAATGAGGAGCAGCTCCTTACAAGTTATTGTGGATCTCCTGCAAAATCTCTTACTAATTTGCTGGGTTTTCTTACTAGTCTAATGCACGCTGAGAAGCAGCGTAATCCACAGGAAGCTCCATTAATTTCAAGGAACAATTCAGCTTTGGTAAAGCTGATTAGCCGAGAGTGTTAGGTGAGAGTTTTTGCAACATAGGGATTGTCAAGCTATTACCAATTTTTACATGGATTTTTCCATTTTTCGTGTTTTTGAAAAGTATTGTAATTGCTGACTGGAAGAGAAAAATGAGTGTTCACATTGTTCTTCTTTTTGCTGCCTCCTTGTTTTAGAGAGGAACAATTCACTATCTTGCCAACGGAAGACAATCAGGATGCTGTTTCTTTCATCAGTGTGTGATAATGGAGCAACAAAATGGTTTCTCAGACCTGAAGTCCTCACCAGAGCTCTTGGATGGGAAACGAGCAGCGTGCAGCTGAGCCACCATAAGAAATGTCTGCTTTGCCACGTACAAGGGGGTGACCGAACTCTCCGTGTAAGGTACTCTATTAGATATGCTTCTGTATTGCTAGAAGAAAAAAAAGAAACAGGCTGTAGAAGAAAATAGCGCTGCAAGGAAAGCTGGAATAGCAATGCTTAAGTTGTAGGCGCTTATCTGGGTGGCAGCCAGCTTTTTTATGATAGGGGCACTGTGTTTGTTTAATATGTCCCTTATCAATTCTGGAAGCTAATATTTGAGGTAGTCCTCCATGAAGATAAACAAGAAGTGTTTGAGTGAGAATAAAGATATCGTGCGTCTTACTCCTCAGAACAGTAGTTGGGTGCTTTACCTTGAATCCGAGGAAACGTCTTGCAGATATTCAATCTGTGTTCCAAGAAGGGTCTTGTGTTATGTACTGAAACTATGCCAGGAAGTCAGAGTGAAGAGGGGGATCTTGGCAGTAATCAAATTTGAAGCGTGCGGTAGCTTACTTGAATAAATCAGATGCCTCTGTAGTACTCTCAAGTCAGGCTTTTTGACCTAGTGGTAGCAAAGAGGCTGTCTGCCTTTAGGAGAAGCTCCAGTAGGGATTCCGTATTGCTACTCATACAGTTTCAGAAGCTGGTCTGTGCAAGGGGACTCTGGTCACCCTCATCTGTTTCCTGCAAAGACTCCACTGTCTTCGGTGCGTGTATTTTATGCACAAATGCAGTAAGATCGCAATGCAAGCAGCAGCACAAAGCATTTCATTATGCGGCAGATGTAAATAAATGGATGATGGAAGAAATGATTCTAAGAGGGTAGTGAAGGAACAGTAGCAACAATACAACTTCTGTATTAAATCTGTTAAGAAGCTATAATATACATTAAATATAGCACCCTTCTCGCCTGGTAGTCTTCACATAGCACACAAAGCTGAACTCAACAATCACATTGCATTAAGAGGACTACTGTGCGAAAGAACTTTCTAGCAGTCAGGAAAGGAAGGACCGCTTCTCACGAAGGGTGTGACTGAGCTATTGAAATGAGAACAATAACAGCTCTCGGTGCTGATGACCATGTAAGTTTGATGTCTGCAGGTTCTTGCCAGGCTCACCATGTGCTTTGTTAAGTGCTGGAAGGAAGCAAAGTGGCTGCAACTTGATGGAATGCATTAGGTGGAGAAAAGGAAACTCCGTTTCCTGTCAAATAATTGTTTCAGCTAATGCTTTTTTTTTTTGCAGCGTGCAGCCAGCTGCATAGTTGAGTGTAAATACTGCTCAGGGGAAGATGGCGGAGGTCATTTAATAATTTATGATTTTACAAACTAAAATAGGGGTGAAATAGAAGTTGTACGAAGACAAAGAGAGAGGGCACCGAGCATTGTGCTGTAGTGAGGTGATTAAGACTTAAAGAGCCAAAATGTTCTTTTACATTGCTCCAGTAGGGATGCATCAGAGCAATTTTGTCATGCTCTCTGTTATAAGAAGTAAATCAGTTCCAAGTAGAGTTTTTTTGGTTTATCCCTCTAGGTTTAGTACATCCCTCTAGGTTTAGTACATGTAAAAGCACTTTCCCAGATTTCTTTTCTTCTTTGGTTTTGCTAGTAGATGCCAGGAAACAATCTAGGAAATACAAAGATTGGAGCAGGAGAAAGTTGCTTCTGACCTCAGGACAGTGTGACAAGGGTGACCTGGGAAATTGCAAGTCCATGACACGAGAAGGAACAGTAAAAGGCATGGGTAAGGAAGGGAAAGCCAGATAGCATGTGCTGCTTCTCAGCAGCTGTGTGAGAATGGGGCTAATCCTGATGAAGGCCAAACATGAAGCTTGTATCTTAATATAGCAGAACTCTTGGCAAAGCAAGGAAATGAGAACTGGAAACAGGGAAAGAGGAAAGAAAGAGGAAAGCCGGGTTTGCCTTCTTAATTCGTTGGCTGCCAGCCAGATGTTTCCAGCATTCCCTTTTCCATGTCTCTCATGGTACTTCGTGGAGCTGTAATGACTCAGGGTCCAGGCAGCTGGTTAACGCAGTTCACGTTCTCTCTCTCATGGGTCTCGTTTGCCTGCAGGCATGTCAGAAGGAACAAGCAATATAAGGCTATGTATAATCATAGTTGGCAACGCACTGAGGAGACACCGCAACTTTCAGAGCCCCCACGTGCACAGCCCTAAGAAGCCTGCTGTGCGCTGAGGCGTCGGAGCAGGCGATCTCCAGGGGTTCCCGTCCACCTCCTCCATTCTGTTGTTCCAGCTCATTTTCCACAGCTCACTCCGCTTTGCAGGTTGGTCCTTCTTTGTGTACAAGAACTGCTACGTGATGATGTATCGTTTGCTTTCTATGGGAAGTGAGACACAAGCGCAACAATAAGGCTCTCAGTTGGCACAAACCTGAGTGTGCAGCAGCGTGCTGTCCCGGTAAGTCAGAGCCAGGTGTCCCCAGTCCTCCTGCTGCAGCAGACCTGGGCTGGGCTCACCTGTTTAGAATTGCTGAGCACTAAATGCATCGTAACTGTTGACTGCACGTGGGTGGCCTTGGTTTGCATGTCTTCGTTCTTAATTCTGCAACAGACTCCTTTAGTTTTTTGAGAGCTTTGCACCAGCAGGCAGCAGACTGTGTTGCAAGGCAGGTCCAGTACACAGCTTCAAAAATAAAACATGCATTAAATAAAAGGAATCTCACAACCTCAAGTGATGGACTAGTACAATTACCGTGCAAGCTATCCTAAGGAACTGTGTCTTTAAGCTGTTCCAGCACAGAGTTTTTGCCTAAAGAAGGGAGAACAGGAGTTATTACTGAATCATGCTGACTTTGGGTTGTATACAGTGATGTCCAGTGGAAGTCTCCTCTTTCTGCCTGTTTGTTTTGTAACACCAGAGAGATATATATGTTAGGAACCGCAGAATGATTGTGATTAGAAAAAAGTCCTCCAGAGAGAAATAATGACTCATAGTTTATGTTCTCTTGAGCGTTGCTATGGAAAGAGACGTTAGTGCCAACGGTCATACAACAGTATTAATCTCTGATGTGAAAGAGGAAATAAAAAGCAACCTCTCGTTTAAACCAAAGCAGATTTGGTCTGCATTACAGCAGCAAGGTCCAGTAAAGATGATAACTGCGTAAAAAAAAATTGAAGGTGACATTGATTAACAGCCTTCAGCACAGGCAGAGATACCTTTAAAAAGAATGGTCACAGCCGGGTTGAGCACGGGGCCGGAGGAGTAAGGGGAGGGAAGCAAGATGTGTGAACCAGGAGGGCAGGAGCACAGCCCGGCTGCAGGTCAGAGCCTCCTTGTGCTCGCAAGTGGGCCCACCTTAGGGCTGGCTCCAGGTAAGTTTACAAAACAGAATCTTAGTAACAGGCAGCTACAAGTGGCTATTGGCCTATTTTTTTCCCCGTTGTCCCAACATTGAATCTTGTTGGGACAAAAGCTATAGCCTAGTTATGGCAGGATCTTAAGTGAAATTAACTAGATGCCATCAAGATCAAAGTTACCTTCATTTGTGTTCTCCCAGATCGCCTTTCAAATTCCAGCGGGTAAAATATTTCCTTTACCTCCTACAATGAAGAGCCAGTCATCCTGTTTAGTTATGGCAAGTGCATCTACAATTAACCGGTGGTCTTTTCAGTTAGTTCTTCCCTGCTGACATAATACATTAGATAAGTACCACTGATTGGTTCCCACTGCTGATAGCAAAGACTGCAGGGTGTTGCAATGCATGATGCATTTGTTGCATCTGACACCCCATTTTTATTCTTCTTTGTCCTGCATCTCCTCACAATTGCCGCTACAATCCTGGCCCTATTCATCTCCTGAATATATTTCATTCTGTGCAGTGGTTGAAAGGGTTAAGCTTCTCTTAGAATTCGAATTCAGTCCATACACCCAGTAAGCCCAAAATAGGCATGGGACTGTGACCGGCCACTTAGTGTGACCAGATCAGCATAAGCCACGAAAAATATTTACCTGACAAAAATGCCAGTCCCAAACACTGATGATACCGCAGGGATCCCAGGGAAAGGAGCAAGGCAAGAAGGGAACTTGTGAGGCACAGCAACACAATCAGCATTTGTAAGCATCTGGAGAACAAAAACAAGAAGAGAACTTGTCAGTTCCAGAAGAACTGAGGTTGGCAAAGGCATAGCTGGAAAACAAAAGTTAACAAAAAAAATTCCTGGTCCAAAACAAACCACAGCTGCAAGGTAGGTCAACTCCAGTTAGTTTATTTTGTACCTTTCCTCCTGATCATCTTGAACCTTTCAGATATATTTGTTCAGAGGCTCCTGGCTGGTAAAAGGGACAGGACCAATGCACAGATCAATCCACATCAGTTGTTGTCCCAGTAACCATCCCAATAAGCAGATCTTTGATTAAGGGACCACGGGGCACAGTGGTTGCCAGTGGTTAAAGATATGCCAGGTTCCTAACAACTCTGATTCCTTTTCAATCAACAGGATCTCTTCTCTGCGCTAGCCACACTTTCCACACATACTCGGTCTCTGATTTCCTAGGGGTGTGACCAAAATCTTTCTTTAATTCAGACACATCAGTAGCAGAATAGGGGACCTTCTCAGTACGAACAACGGAGTACCCACCTTCACTCCCCTCATATGCATGCCCACTTCCTATCGGAGGGCAGAGAAGGGTCACCAGGTTTTATGCTACGTCTTTTTGGGCTTTCACATCCTCCTGATTTTCTCCTCAATAAAAGTCACTATCTGGGGAACTAGCATTTATCTCCCTCTCTTCTAACAACAGTTCTCTATGGCTTGCTGAAAGAGGGCTTGTTGAGTTTTTCTTCTTTCACAGTCCCGTTAGGTCTTCTACTTGATCCAGCACATATGTAACCAATTCTTACAAGGACTGAATAAATTGCGTTTCTGCCATGTACTGATCATTGCTGTTCTCCGAAGGGACACTAAGAGCAACACCTAGGACTATACAAATAATTGCTTCTAACTTGTCCTCCACCATATGAATCAGCCTGTGGACAGATTTTATTTGAGCCACAGCTCCCTCTAAGATGGGCCAATTATTCTGCACCCACTCCAGCTCCATGGGGAAAGAGTTTAATACCGTGCTTTTCTGAGAGGTTGAAGAGCCAATTCCTGCCTTT